CTAAGGACCATGCAAACAAACGACAATTAAAAAGATTACTCAAATTTATATGGTTCATATTTTTAATTCTTTAGTCTCTGTTTAATGCACGACACTCTTCATTAAATTATTGACATTCGGTAAAATTAAATCTCCGCATGTAAATGAAAATATTCATTGAACAGAAACAGTTTTCTAAATAGAAGGAACTAACAGAATATATATAAGTCATGCTGACAGATGTAGGCTACTTGGTTGGGGTCCGCGAGACGAAAGTCACCAATGGTTAGAGACCTTGAACGACATGGCTCAGAATCGTTGGCAATGGCGCAGATGCATCCACTTTTTGTGTTCTCTCTAATTCTGACCTTCTAAATACCTCATAATCTCTACCTTTCTCCTTCTAATTTTATCTCACTGAATTATACTTTTCGAATCCTATCTACGCTCCCTAATCTTCTCCATTACTGCTAATTAATCTACTATCGCTATCACTCTTGGATTCGAACTTACAGTTGCGTCTCTGTGCTGATGTGGTATGGCAACCTGAAGTGATGTACTTACGTACGAAGTTCTGCATTGTGTCTATCATCATATATATATTAATTTTATAAATAACTTACGAAATTTTGTTCTAACGGAAAATGACCTTTGTATGAGGATTCATCTGTTCAGTGTTCACTGACTTACTTCAGGAATCACTGTCAACTGTTATAGAAGTAGATTTGAAGAAAGTTAAGAGACAGACAAATATACTTTAATTACAACTGATCAGCAACTGATTTTCAATGGCTTTTCTTTGATCTTAACATTTGCCACGGTAATTCTTCACAAATGATCTAATTCTGTATAATTTTTAATTTGGTCATAGTTGATTTTTATTCCATTTTACTACTATGAACTTAAAACTTCTCTACCATCTCATTTAAAACGATGTTTAAAATAGACCACATGTAAATATTTCATATGTGATTTTTCACTAATGATTTTCATCAAGACTTATCAAAAACAATGAATCGTTTTTAGTAAAAAAAAAAAACAGTTGATATTTCGAGTTGGTTAATGCAAAGAATTTTATCTTTTGTTTGTTTTCTGTTTTGAATGTCATTTTCGAAATATTTTTTTTGTTGATTTCTTTCAGTAAAACAATATGCGATAACAATTGTCACATTCAATGAATGTTGAAATAATGTCCGTTTAATTTAATAACAAAATAGATTTATCCATGATTTCGAATAAAATAAAATTTTAACAGATTGAGAGGGATATTATTATTATTATTATTATTACCAAATGATTAGTAAATAATGCAAGATATTAAAATAAATACATAGAATTTCATGCAAAACAATAAGTATGTTTTTTATTTGTTCAACAAATAGACATTTAAGATTATAATAATTTATTCCATGTTTGTTTTTAACTCAATGTAAAATGGATGAAACATGGGAAGGACCATGTGATAGATCAATCTACACTTGAAATATAAAACATCATTTGAAATATGATAAAAAATCTTGTTTGTTTTATCTTTTTAAGTTGGTTTGATAGAGAAAAATCTGAATATTTGACAAACGAAACTTAGCGGTTCATCAATAAAATAGCATCATTTTAGAAGTTCAGATTTATTCACCATTGTTTGTATGGATGGTAGATTTGTGACGGACAACTGGAAGCATTTGATCACTTGAGAATTATTTAAAGTTAGTTTTTACTTCGTCAGTAGTTTAACTTTCGCGGTACCACCCTCTGATAATACTTATTTTAATTGTGAATTCAACAAAAGTTAATAGAACAAAATGACTGACATTTATTTTACAGGCCCTGAGATATATCAGTTTTAGTTTTGATCCTATGTAGGGTCAAAGAAGTGAATAGTTAAAAGCGCTTCAGACGGCAGATCAATCTTTTTTTTCACAGTTTACGTAATGAACTAACCTTAGTTATGCAACTATTGAAAATCAGGAACTACTGAGTGGCTCCTTCTTTCTAGCATAAACTCTTCAGTAGCGCGAATTAGCTGACCAATGCTTCTTGATTTCCACCGATATTCTAACTAAGGTCAATTTAAGATGTAAATTAGAAAATGCAACTATCTCTACAAATCAATCATATCATTTTTGTAATCGAAACTGATTTCCATTTGCTATTCTAAATCAATCTGTTACTTTTTCCTGGAAATAGCTGTAAATTTGTTTAATTATTTAAATTTCCTGTAATTAATGTTGAAAGTAACGGTTAAATTTCATTCTTACTAATGATTAAAAATCCAATTTTTTTTAGTTTCATTTTTTTTAAATAAATTCCAAATTTAACTTAATTAAAATTGTTTGATAGTCTTTTCAAATTCTCAGAATATTTTCATCGATCAACTAATTTTAAACAAATAATGAAATATTCTTTTGATATTTTACTTATTTACTTACGCCTGTTACCCCCAAACGGAGCATAAGACGCCCAACAGTTTTTGTTCAGTCATCTCATGTCTTTCTCTATTTCTCCGCGTAATGTGTTCTTTGGCCTTCCGCTTTTCCTTTGACCTTGAGGGTTCCATGTGACGGCTTGTCTTGTGACGCGGTTAGGTGCTTTTCGTAGTGTGTGTCCTATCCACTTCCACCACTTCTTCCTGATTTCCTCCTCCTCTGGAATCTGGTTTGTTCTCTCCCACAGTACGATGCTGCTGATGGTGTCTGGCCAACGAATCCGAAGTATTTTGCGTAGAGAACTGTTAATAAACACTTGTATCTTTTGATATTTACCTACTCATAATTATATGTACAGCTGAGCATTATTCAACTTGATTGAACGAATTTTGAATCATTTTGATGTCTTCACATACTTCTGCCTGTGATTTCCTTTTTTTCACATTAGGATGATTTCATGAATACACCAAAATAGGAGAATGGAAATTGAGTAAAAAGGTACTATGTTTCAAGCAGATAGCTTTGTATTTCATTAAATTAAATTCTAATAGAAAATCAATATCAAACAAAATTGTTCAAATTTTAATGGATACTGAACAAAAATTCCAATTCAATTTAGTCTATGAAAAATAATAATTAAATCAAACAAGTTACGCAAAATGGAGACGAGACAGATTGTTTTCAGAATTTAATCACACAACCTCTTCTATTCTTGGCTTAATTGTCAGATGGTTTATTTATTAGTGTGATGATAATCTTCTTTTGCATTCAATGAAACCGGCTCATAAAGTTCACTGGGCTACTAAAGTTAAAAAAAATCATACGAAAAATTCAATGGATATTGTATGTCACTTGAAGAACCGCTTTAAACTAATCTTCTTTCATAATACTTACGAGATTTAGAGTACTGATTAACTTTATCGATAGCACCATAGAATGCATTATGTTAGAAGACCATTATAAATCAGGGGTCACCAGGTAACGTTTTTGTCCTGATGTGGAACTCCTCAGCCGTGCTGATCTGTTTATGACCAAAATCAGAATGTTCAGGTTCAACGGTCAACGTCTCACCTTTATACCATTAAGTCATGCATGAGTGGATGGTTTTTTATTCCCAAATCTAGTCTATTCATGTTATAGTGTAACTATCTTTCTGTCATTCATGAGTAACTGTCTGGAACCTAACTTATGTAGATGCAGTGCTGAGATGCCGTATATTTAGAAGTAACGGCCGCCTAAAGCTTCATCGTTTTCCATAGTTTTATAACTCAGATCATTCTTTGATGTAAACTATCAAAGTTGTACAACTGATAATAGTCTCTACTATAAATATGATATTTACGTATATCCTGTCAAGTTTCCTAATTCATTACTAAGTTTTCAAACGTTGCTTTATATAATCAAGTGGCTTATGCAATATCAAGTAGAAACCGGGTAAACTACATTTATGTAGAACCTAAGAATTTTTCAATAATACACATTCTTTCACAACCACCATTGTTTCAAAACCTTTTTCATAATTTGATCGTAAATTTTTTAAATTATAATAAGCTATAATGATATTTTTACCAATATGAATAACTCATTATTAGGGTATATAGACTTTAGTGCTAGAACCATTGAGTATTTTATGCAGTTGGATAAAATCCATTGGAATTCCTGGTTGATACAACTTAACAGCTAGTTGAAACCTGACTATTTATTACACATTTATTCACACTAACTGACTATGAGTTAGAAGTCAGTATCATAAATGGTGATAAAGTGTTATATACTACTTATCTATTTTTTTCACACCTCATAATTCCATCAATATTCATTTTCACATATAATGAATAATTCATTTCTATTTTTGAAAATGAGATGATAACAAGGATTATTTACGCTATCATATTGTAACAATTTAAATACTGTAAAATATAAAGTTCAAATTAAAATAAAAACGAAAATTATTCTCATTACCTATGAAGAAAAATGTAATTAAACTATGGTGTCCTCATAAGGAGACTTTCTTTTGGTACATCACAAGACAAAAGTCAATAAAAACGTTTCAAGCCAATTAGTGAAAATTTATATGATTTAAGCGAAATATGGACTTTTATAGAACAGGATTGATAAACGATTAATAAATGTTGACTGATCAATGACTCAATATTAGTTATTTCTCAATACGATTTCGTACACAAGGAAATAGTAACATGCTGTACAGTGAACCATAGTTTCATCAATACCCCTTCATCAAATATTGAACAGTGTTACATTTCAATGATGAATAGTTTTTCGCTTTATGATTCATTGTTCAAATAATCAAAAATTATGCCAAGTGTTATGGAGAGTGTTGAATTTAAAGTTTCACATCAACAACTGACCTTAGTTTGGTTATGTAATCAAGGTTAATTCGTGTAGTGAAATTGATGAAAAATGCTTCTAGAATAATAAGGTTGAAGCATGTATCAGTTATCACGTTATTAATAAATGTTGTTTTTATTAATAAATGCTGCTTCATACAATCCAGAGTTATTATTTCGATTTTCGAAAACTATTCTAAATACAGACTTTATTATTATTATTATTATTATTATTATTATTATTGTATAGGATTGATTCAAACTTCTGAACACGAATCAATTATCACTGAAGATGAATATAATTTAATCAAACAAATTCAAACTTTAAAGGATGATTACAAAATAAAATATTCAGAATGGTTGAAACTTAAAGAAACTATTCAATATTGTAAATATATGTTAGATGAATCACAAAAACGTTTATTACAAGGTAATGTTGTAATTTTTAATCATTTAGTTTTTTTTGAGAAATTATTTTATTGAATTTTAGTGTTTTAATGTGATAAATATTGTAAAAATTGATGCCTTGAGGATAAATTATCTATTTCTAAAATCTAATTTCTTAGAAAATGTATACCTGTTAAGATTCATGGCGAAAAGAAGGAGAAACGATCTTCACAAATAAAATACACTGTGAAATGACAGAAAATTCGTAACTCGGATGAATGTTGTAGTAGTGTTAAATTCCCCAGGCTGTTTGTACGAATGCTCTGTTCTCGAATATTCACTTAAAGATATCATATTCTTGCTGGGATGCTGAAAAGATGTATTCTAGAAACGTTTAATTCAACGGATATTTGTATAATCTACTATATTCATATATACTTCAATGTGAAAAACATTTTTTCATGGCTGAACCATTCACTCTACTACTGTGCAGTAAGATAAATAGGGTATTCAGTGAGAGCAGTTATCTGTTACACTCGGAAACAACTACCAGTATAGGTTAGCAAGAGAAAACATCTATCAAGAAGTCATATATGAAGGACATTCAACCACGCATTCATTTTTTAACGTCAGTCACAAAACCTAGTCAAGTATGTATTGCAATAAGTCTATCGGTCTACAATCTAAAATGAGAATTTACCATATAAAAATAATTTATTCACACATTCTGCTTACAATGATCTTAGTTGATAGCGTTATTTTATTTATTTAGCTGCCGTTTTTTTTCTATATATTTTAATTATACGTCTATAAAAAGTGGTTTTAATTTACTTTGTCTTAAAATTATCCTTTTTTTTAAAATAAAACTTGTTTCCACCCGAATTTATTGATTACAACTGATTTATATTTTTATCATCTCAACTTCGTAGCAATCACAGTTATGCCATCCATCCCATCAATTATATGCTTCTCATGTTTGCCAAATGTTTACTTTTCAATAACTATTGGTTTAAAATTAAAATCACGCAAGCAAATTTCAAATAACAGCTAATCAAATTATCACACACACACACCATCATTTGTTGACCTAGAATTTATTATGAATATATACAATTTTATAGCTTAGTAGCTTCGATGAATAAATTTGTTTTCAAATAATTGTATTCAGAAATTCCTGTTTTTTTTTTTAAAAAAGTAGTTTAATTACACTTAATATACCTAATTATTAATTAATTTAAACATGCGTAGTATTTATTAGAACAAAAAGAGATAAATTGAGCGTGAACAAGTATTATGATGCTATAAATCACAGGGTTCTGTAGGCTTACTAGTCAACATATTTGATAAAAGTACACATGTCATGTAATTTGTTGGAAAATCGATTAAGTTAGTACAGACCTAGTTGAATAATGAGTTAGATTATTCAAGGGTTTTTAAATGTGTCCATAATCTAGTATGACCAAGCCATAGTTTCATTCAGTGTCTTATCGTATATATTGATATATTAACACTTTATTCGCCCCATATAATTTATCTTTAACGCCCTCATACTACTCATATTGGTTATTGCAATAACGAGTTGTCTGTTGTCAATGAGAACACTTAGAACTAGTTTAATACTGGCAATAATGTCAATGAACGCCCATTGTTCATGAGTGACTTGATAATCTTGAATAACTAACCAGAATATTGATCTTTAAATAACAATTTGAATGTCACACTGTGTACATAATTTATTAATTTATTTAAATAGATTGAGCAAAGCTAGGGGCAGCCAAACCGAAACCTGACACAAATCCATGAAGTCACTGAGTCAGGTTGATAGGCATAGATTACTTGGATGGGATCTGCAAGATAATAGTAACCGGTTGTTAGAGACTTTGGATGACATAGCTGAAAACTGCCAAGAAAAAAACGTGTATTAAAATGTAATTTATCGTTTTACTAACAGCGATTTATGAAATATTTTTTAGTTCGTTTGACCTACCTTAGACAACAATTAAAATCTAAGGAGCACTGGGTGTCGTCCTGGTACAGGATTCCTGATACGTTCCCACACTGAGGTTGGAACCTAGAATCTTCAGGTCCCATAGTGAAAGTTAAAATTTAGACTTCTCTGTTCGAATCCAATAATCATTCATTTTCAACTTCAATCAATTCATTATATCGTGCTAACCATCTTCTATCATTTGTGAGCATCTGTCTCACACTCGACTCAAGTGGGGTTGTGGATGGTTAGATGTTTAAGTAAAACATAGAGTGCTGCCTGCGAAGTCTGGAGGTTAGATGCGTTCTCGATCCTAGGTGGGACTATGGATTCGGATTCCTGAAGTGTTTGAGGAGAGAGAGAAACAGATGATCAGTTACTTCTGGTTTATAATGGTTATCATTGTTACAGCTTTTTGATCAGTCTGTCATAATCTTTCATGATAACATAAAATCACTCACTTATATGACTCATTCTTCCTGGGTGTAAACTATTTTATTACAACGATAAAAATACAACTTCATATCGTTTAACATAAATTGACTTCTTCAATTAGTAAATTTATATCCTGATTATTTTAGACAAATAAACTGATTATTGGCGAAATTTATCAAGGATTATCTTTCGTTGTGATACTATCAAACACCTGAAAGCAGTGAAGAGCGCTTTTGTTGTAAAATAAGACTGTTGTGAAGAGCACACATATAACACCTGCCAGCAGCGTACGCTTGACTAGTAGACCTCTGGATTAGTACTTAATGATACCAGTTGTATAAAACAAGCTAACCAGCTGAAACTTGAATAATTCTACCATGATGAAATAAACAACATTTTATGAATCCCTCTGTCAACTGGCTCCTAGTATATTCGATGTCAGCATCCACAGTATTTTTCATGTGAAAGAAGTAACTAATTTTATACAGATTTAGTGAGGTATTTTACCCGTTGTTCACTGACTAATACTAGAACCATTACAAATATTATAAAGTTTATGTTGCAACAGTTACTGAAATCTTTAGTTGACCACTAGTAGCATTTAGTTATACAATCTTAATTTTATTTTATTAATGACAGGTGAAAATTCCCTGATATACATCCATATACTGAATTAGTTTGTATAAGTATCCCAAATTTCGTATGACTAGTTAAAACACAAATATTACTCTGATTTAGAGATCAATATTTCAGTCATTTCAATTATTTCTGTGCCTTGTAAAATAAACCGGTTAGAATATCACATTGAGTTTTAACGAAGAAATAAGTTTTCATATAAATTAAATAAAATATTTATCATATGTCAGTAATGGGAGAATGGAACTTTCCTGTTTGTATTTCTCATTTGGAATAACTGTTTAATACTTTCAAATATTTATTAATAACAATATGAATTTCATACATATTGAACATTCTATAGTTATTCAGTACAATTTAATGAAGCAATATACAATAAGTTCTAATGTAGAGTGAATTTCCCTTCCAGACAAAACTCCACAATTATGCTTGATCAATTGTTACAAAGATTATTCCCATAAGCATACTGATATATAATTAATTAGCGCCATATTAATAAGGTAAATATGTATCCATCTGTACAAATTAACGAAAATATCCTTTAACAGATATTGATTTTATCCTACTAAAAGTATCTGTGTTTGGTATTTGGCAATGTTTGTTCGTGTAAAATGTGCAAATTTATTTTGTACTCTCACTTCATGTATTATAAATGACTATTGACGTTCGAAACAATACTTGGAGGTCCTAGGGTCAATTTCTAGTTGGTTCATGAGTCCCGTACTAGAACTAAATATCTATTCAGTGCCCGTTAGTTTTCAAAGTCATTTCATGTAAGATCAATCGGTGATGAATGCGACCTATAAATTTAAGTCTAAGTTACTAGCTATTGTAATAATTGTGTACTTTTCATGGAAAAAATAAAACTTAGATAATCAGTAACTGTTAGCTCTGCACAAATATTTGTTAACGTATTTCATTCGGTTGTTGACTTTGTTTGAAATGTTTTAATTTTTTTTCTGACTTATGTTTATTTAAGATCGTTTATAGAAAATGGTAAAAAGTTAAATTCAATATCAGATTGTAAATGTACTTTGGTCATTTCTTTCACTTTGGACATTAACTGAAGGTCAACCGAACTTTGATGATAAGTAGTTAGGAGTGATCATCAAGAATCTCTGACACATAGCTTCAATGTTATTTGAGTTTCTTAAACAATGTGTTTCTCTTATTTTTAGTTAATCGAAACTCTTTCTGAAATCCCGATCTGCATCATCTAACTTCACAGTCTGAGATGTTATTACTAAGAAGATATACGAGTCGTTACTGACCTACGCCTAACTGATAAGTACCAGGTTCCGGTTACCGCGGCAACTGTTTACAACCACTTGGGATCAAAACTGAGTGGAACATTAAAAATTATTTGATTTGTTTTATGCTTCAGTGATAAATCATAGATAAGAAGAGTAATACGTTTACCAAACATTTTAGAAATTATCAAATCTAAAATCTAGACAATTCTTAGATAGCTTAGAAATGTATTTACAAGGTACACCAATTTTTATTCAAATTATTCAAAACTTCACATTCACCAACAACAATTTGTTGTATTATTTCAGTTGGTCGATGAGTTGAAAGTCGGTATGACCGGTAAACATTAGGTTATAAGCAATTTTGTGTGAAATTTTTATGCTTCACAATGTTATACTGCATGTGTAATGGATATTTCCGTTTTGAGAAAAAGAAAATAGCAGTTGACTAACAGTAATATTCATGTATACTACTTTAAATCACTTACCTACCACACAATCGAAACATGAATCATTCAAATTTATGTTATTATGAACTTTCTGTTGTACTTTTATACTGACACATAGTATTCGTTAGTTATCTGCAGTATTTATTCTTTTATTAAAATTACGCAATAAAACTTTAAAAAAATGTTATCTCATTGTATCTAAATTCATTTTATCATAACTTGTAAACTCTTATTTTATTTTAATTGATAATTAACGACTATCTTTAGACTTTTCAACTACTACGTAGGATCGTAATCAAATGGCCTTTTGCAACTGATGAAAAGTTTTATGTTATGAAACTTATTCTTTTCCCTGTATTTAAGCTTCCTTAACCAGTTAGGATTTTCAAAATTAACATCCAGTTGAGTGTATATCTGTAAACTAAACAATTTTTCAAAATGTATTCTTCCTATTTTACAAAAATACTAAGCTGAACTGTCAAAGTATATTTTAATGATTAAAAAAAAGTAGGCGTTTTCTTTCCCACTAAAAAAATATTTCAAATTTCCCTCTATTATAATAAATGTATTCATTAGGTGTAATGAATGGATGAAGTTATTATTCGCTATTTGTTTATTTCCCATCATGTTTGTCTGGGTTAACGTAACATATTCACAATATAGTCATATAGTAAGAAACTTCGAACGCTTGAATTGAGATTTTCGGTGGCAAAAAAAACACTCACCGACAGACTAAAAACGAACCATAACTGAAAATTTGTAGATCTCTCTAATATACCCATTAAATACTGTACATTTCTTTACATCTAATTGAAAAATGTTATATACTATATAAATTACTTTTTTATCTGCTTGTCTATCTCACTATCAGTGTGTTTTACCATTTCAAAAAAGGAAATCGATTCTTCTTTCGCGAAAAAAAAGCTTTTATTATAAGCATTGTAGTGTTCAACCTATTTTATTTTTTTAATAATTAATGCTGGTTAAAAGATTCGATTCATTTGAAAATGGAATTTTTTTCTCAACTGTGATTGCTTGTGTTTTTTTTTCCTAAATTCATTACAGTTGAATTTAGTTCCATTTTCATTGTGACACTATCGAAACTACATCTTTTCTTTTTTTTTAATGATTATTGTTTAACAAAATAATCATTTCACTATTCATTATTTTATTTGAATTTGTTTAAATGGAAGTTCGACTAGAATGAGATGTGTTTATTTTGAATATGTAAACAAAACAGTCTACTCAAGTGAGTTTTCATGAAAATATCACATCTCATGATTGTAACTCATCTTGTTATAGTAGCTTATGCATCAAAATTAGCAAAATCATACTTTAAAATGAATGCTGAGACATAGATAACTGCTAAAGGCAAAATGAAAAAATTTCCTAGATAAGTATTTTCATTGACATATCATGTTAAGTTTCCGAAATATAGCGATAGAAATTATCAACTATAATCAAATCATAGACACATGTCGAGATAACTGTGTACATAACTATTTTTTAGACATACAGATCATTTGCATAGATTGAAATGTCATTTCCAAATCTTTTCCCATTAATGGTGATTTGTTAAACCATCAAATGACTGTAGAATGTCTATTGATAAACTCTCCGTAAACATGTAAACGAACGAAAGAAAAATATGGTCTGGTGCAACAGCAAGAAACTTCTTTACTAAATATGTTTAAGTTTAAAAGCAAAACAACTGATTACAAATCTTGAAAAATTCATTATTCGTACGAAAATCATCTACAGTCTGTTATTATATGATTACTTTGTCGTAAAATAATTTCACTCAAGCTTATCTTTGAGTAAATTTTCACATCTTAGCTAGATCACCACAAAAAACCTGGGGACAGTAGACAGCCGTTTCGTCCCAGTATGAGACTCCGCGACACTGAACGTGTAAATCGAACCTAGAACTTTGGTTCTGAATCTCCAAACCACCATTCAACAGCGTTAACAAGCAACTTCCATGATGTTGACTTAAAATATGCCGATGACATAGGCCTAATTGGTGAAGACGCTAAACAAATGCAGATTCTTCTGACCACCCTAAGTAACATTACAAGCATGTCCGGGATTTGGTTCTCACCCTCGAAATGCAAAATGTCGCTTACGGATTGGCTTGCGACTTCACGGGAACTAGTGATAGGGAGTGAAGTAGTCGATCGTGTAGACCGCTTCATGTATCTGGAGAGTCTCATCAGTGCTGATGGACTGGTGACTGACGAAATTCCAGCACAGATACAGTAGGCTCGATTGGCTTTCGCCAACTGCGTCACCTATAGCGCAGGCGAGATATCCGCTTGTTAACCAAAGGACGAGTGTACTGTGCAGCAGTTTGCTCCATCCTACTATATGGATGCGAAACATGGCCGTTAAGAGTAGAGGACTTTTGTAGGTTACTAGTCTTTGAGCACCGGTGTCTCCGAAGCATTGCTCGTGTATCCTGGGACAACCGAGTAAGCAATGCTGTCGTCAGAAAACGAGTACTAGGTAAGGATGGCTCATAAATTGATGGAGTAGTGAAACTTCATCAGCTGAGGTGGTTGTGACATGTGTTGCGCATGGCTAACCACTGACTGCCTCGTCGAGCTATGTTTTGTGGTGTAGGAGTAGATTGGAAGAAAGTTAGGGGCGGCCAGACCAAAACATGGCAGAAATCCATGAAGTCACTGACAAGTGGACTCAGTCATGTGGATAGTTGTCGACTACCTGTTTGGGGTCCGCGAGACGAAAGTTACCAATGGTTAGAGACCTTGAACGACATGGCTCAGAATCGTTTGCAATGGCGCAGGTGCATCCACTCTTTGTGTTCTCTCTAACTCTAACATTCTGAATTCCTCATAATCTCTACCTTTCTCCTTCTAATTTTATCTTGCTGGATTATACTTCTAGGATCATATCTTCCCTCTCTAATCTTCTCCATTACTGCCTATACTTCTTCTATCGCTATCACTCTTAGATTTGAACTGACAGTTGCGTCTGTGTGCTGATGTGATATGGCAACCTGAAGTGATGTACTTACGTACGAAGTTCTGTGTTGTATCTGTCTGTCCATCATGTTGTGCAACCTAATTCATGTCATTCAATGTCTTTATTCACAGGCCTGTTTACTTGTGAGCATCCAAAGGGAAAAAAGGGATATCATTTTTAACACAGTACGACTGATGCTGAGAAAGCTTTGTGTAACGAAACAAATAGTATTCAGTAAATCTACTACTATTAACAGATCATATTCAGTACTGTTACAATTATGTGTTCAATAGTTCTCATTTTCTACTAATGATAAATTCAAACAAAATATAAACATGATAAATATGAAATTTCCTTATTGCTTAAATATTATACACATCCTAATTAAAATCGTTTTTTTTTAAAAAAAAGAAATTAAGACATAACTGCTTTTTTATCATTTAGTGTAAACAAGATTTAATGCAATCGCACAACGCGTAGTGAGATGAGAAAATTTTCACTTGATTATGAAACATTTACAAGAATTTTCAAATTCCGAGTTAAATATAGACGATAAATAATTAAAACAACAGTTGAATAGATATTGTAAATTATATTTTGTATAGAAAAACCACTTAAGTAGATAGAAATAGTTCAATGTTTGTGTGCTAAAAATAATTGACCTAATTTACTGAATTCTAGAGAGAAAAAAAAGTGAAACGCTACATATTTAAATTTATAGTTGGTAAATTAAGAAAATGAACTTATTTATTGGAAAATAATTTTTGTTATCAACAATCCTAATTCAATATCCATGATTTATTATTGAATCGAATCAATGCATTGTAACGAAATCACAAGGTGTACAGGCAAAGATTTGGTCAAATTTTTAATCTATAAGTGTGTTAGGTGAGTGGGTTTTTTTCAAAAAAAAAAAACGAAATTATAATCTTACTAACCTTATTATTGACATCATAAGTAAAAATTAGCTTACATATAAATAAATGATCTCATCGAATTTTGAAATTTGACACGATCCACAGGTAATTAATTATAAATATAATGAAATATGGTTTTCATGAGAAATTAACACTAGCCTGATGAAGCGACGAATAGTGTACAATCGGTTTATTGAAGTTTTTGAAATTTTATAATAGTTTGTCTTTTGAGAATTCTCAGATGCTCAATGCATAAATTCTCCATGTTCCACATTAATAGCGATCGATAGAATGGTCTTCACTTATTCTATATTCTATAGAAAATTCTAATTAATCTTATTTAATAATACCTAAAGTACAGTTGATACTGTCGACAAGAAATGTTGATTTATGATAAAGTTAAATATTCTAACAATTATAAACAACTTTTTCTTGAAAAAAGATCTCTTATTTGGCTTTCTAAGGCCCTACGTGTTTTGGAAAAACAGTAGATATATTGATGGATTGAGATCGATTTGACACTACAGTATATCATGCAAATTGAACGGATAAACATTGGAATTTTATCGATTTTGTTTGCTGTCATTAAATGTGAATATTTGATTGATACAAATTAATCACAATAAACATTCAACTTAGTGCTGTGACTTTGAATGTCTAAGGAAAGATATGTCTCGGTGATTGATGAACACTAGTCAGAAAAAAGACATTAAAGTTTAGAGTATCCTATCAACTGCCTCCAATCAGCTCATCAGACAAACTCGATGGCTAATATGTTTTGGTAGACTTCTATAATAATTTATTTTAAATTGAAGACAATAATAATATTAGTATTTTTGAGCAAACCCATCTGAATATTACAATCCTTGAAAACATATAGTCTAAATATCATATGGAATCTACATCCTTTGCTACTACTGCATATTAAACAAATTAAGAAAATCAGATTCCCAGTGGTTGGCACTTGTCAACTGAGAGTACTTACAATCTAAATGGAGCTAATACTCCCTGTGTAATTCTCATGACAGCATTGCTTAACTTTACGGTTTGTAACAACATCACTAAAATACTTGGGCTGTGATTGAATTCTTATAAGACTGAGTCCATTTACCATTGACTGTTTATTGATTTTTAATCAGTGTCATATTTTTCCAATCTTTTACTGATAATCCAATCCTACCGATTCAGTATTGTATACCTTAGATTTTAATCAAAATATTACTGTCATGGATTAATTTTCACTTCATTTTATTTAATCAGAATTTGAAAATTGGTATCAACAATGTTTCATGGAACCGCTGAATCCAAATGATCCAGCATTACATAATAATCAAATTCATCTGAATACTTCGAGTAAAACAATAAACAATCATAACAAAGTAACAAGTAGTATAAATCAGAATACTAATGAAAATGATTATTTAATGGAATTTAAACAAGCTCAAGAAAACTGTTTCTCCAATCATGCTGACTTATTATCATATCAACGTGCTAAAGAAATGGTTACATATAAAGTAAGATGTTATGATTATTTTTTATTGATGAAGACAAAAATGTTTGAAAATCAATTATCTACCAAGAATACATAGCTAAATAGCAAGTATATTAAAACTGTCGACGTATACTGTTGAATTACAACTAATGTGACTCACTATGACGCCCATAGCAGCTACCTGGGCTTTGTTCTGTGTGTGCGTGTGTGTGATTGTGAGTGTATACTGTTGGATTTTCCGAAACTAATATTCAGTCACTCTGTCATGAATATGCTACATATGTACAAGGGTTCAAGTCAGTCAGTCAGTCAAATGCAACGTAGAACTTCGTACGTAAGTACATCAGTTCATGTTACCATACCACATTAGCGCAGATATGTCATTGTCAATTCAAATACAATAGTAGTAGAGGTAGTAAAGGTATTAGAAGTAATCGGAGAGGTTAGGATTAAAAGATATTATTCAAGAAGTATGATTCAGTGAGATAAGTTTAGAAAGACAAAACTAGGTGTTGAAGAATCCAAAAGATTAGGATTTGAGAGAACGCAAAAAATGAATGCACCTGCGCCATTGCAAAAGGGTTTTGAGCCATGTCATTCAGGATCTCTAACCGTCGATTATTATCATCTCGCGGACCCCAATCAGGTAGTCGACAGTAACCGACATGGCTAAGTCCACTCGTCAATGACTTCATGGATTTCTGCCATGTTTTGGTTTGGCCGCCCCTAGCTTTCTTCCAACCTATTCCTACACTACAAAACAAAGCTCGTCAAGGCAGTCGGTGGTTAGGCATACGCAGCACATGTCCCAAAAGGTTCAAATCCCCTTATAGTATCAGTAGAAACGATTAGGCATAGACAGTATGATTTGAGAAGTAAGAATCAGTTTATGGAAATAAAGTATGAAGTAATTTTTAAACTCATGATTTTGGGAAAGATAAAGGTTGAATAGAACTGCACCAATGTGTCCAATCATTAGTCACGATAATCATGTGAACGCCAACTAGACAGCTAACATTTCTCAGTCCAGCTGTTTATTATTTTAGGGACCGATACAACTTCTTAGTTCAGTTATCTCTAGTATTTTTTCCAACCTACACATGTAAACATTGCGTATTAGGGTAGGCTAATATTGGACTTAATTAATAATTTCCTAGTTTATAACTGTGCTCTATTCGAAATCTATCTCGTGATGAGAACTGTCATTATATAAAAAGTAACTCATACACTGGAGTCACTGATAGTTTAAGAATAAGGTTGTGCTTTCTGAGGGTCTATTGTGATCACAAACTGTTGAAAGATTAAAAAATCTGGGGAATTATTTTTTCCGCTCATTTTGTCGAACTGTTGAGAAGTAACTATGATAGGAAATTCACATACAATGAACACTGGAAACCCGAAAGAGCTGGATATACAAATCATTTTAGGACAGGACTCCTAAGTAGTAAGCGCTCAAGACCTCTCGTCTGGAAGTCAAACGCAGAACCTTCGGTCTCGTGTGCAAAAACGCTTATCCTCTAGACCATTGAGCTAGTATCCCACAATGTTTGTGTTTAACCGCACTTAACTCGCATTCGAACACAAGACCGATGATTCTGAGTTCGTTTTCTGGATTCAATGTCGCATGTACACACTGCTAAGGAGTCCTTATACCAAGACGATATGAGTGTTCAATGCTTTCAAGTTTTCAATGGTGGTTCAACTAAGGTCGATTCGTATTTTAAAATCTATGAGAATTCTACCATTTCTACAAAACCCTAATATTGTTAAATAATTAGTTTGTTTAATCACATGTCCTATACATATATTCTATTACGAAGATAATCAATGATAATGATTGGATTTATAGAATGAATTATACATTAGGTTGAGTGAATAAAAAGAAAGATAGTGATAATAACAGTATGAGATAATTTTATGTTCATCAAGTCTGGTGGTATATACTTTAGTTGTCTATATTAGTAAATCACATAAATAATAGACTAAGACAAAATAAATCAATAATAAATTTACTATTGTCAAATCTAAATGTGAAATCAGTCCATGATATAATTGACTGTTAGTTTAGGTTATATTGGCAGGTTCCCGATTATCTAGTTGAGAGGTACGCAATCATTGGTTAGAGACATTGTGTTACATGGCTTGATAATCGATGACAGCAAGACTTTGCATATTCTTCTGGATCTTCAATTCCAACATTCCTGTATCATCTTCCTGAAACCTGTACTCGATGTTCAATATTTTCCATTATCACTGGTAGTAAATTATTTCTATTCACCTGGTTAATATCATCATGTCATCTTAATAAGGTATGAAAACGTGTACTAACCCACATCTGTGTCAGAATCTATATTGTTTATGACTAGCCTATACTCTAACTCGTTAGCCAGTTAGAAGATCAGCACAGTAAGCAAAGTAAAGCAAGATGTTTGTCCTCAACTAATTCCATTCTACTAATGATTACTTAAAACCCATGTATAAAGCATCTGATAAAACAATAAACTGAATAAGAAATTGCAGCGTGTACATTACTACACCAAAATGTGAAGTATAACTAATCCATACGTCACCAACCAATTAACAATAATTTAAAAAAGTCAAAATGTAGAATAACAATTTATTAGTCAACCATATGGTTATTATATTACATATATAAAAGTAAAGTAATCCAAGTGTTTAATCAGTATAGATTCGAAATATCAAAAATAATTCCTCATAAGACAATTATGAAGGTGTAACTTTTCTCAAATACGCTCCAATATCATGACAGTTGCAGTTAGTATTTCTTTCGATAGATGATTATAATTCTTGTCTTTCGTTTTACTATTCTCACTCTATCAATCAGTAAATTTTCTAACGAAAGATTTGACGAAACTGTTTCTTGACACAAGAGATATACATTGAACATGGTGACTTGTTATATCTTATGTCTAGGATTTACGTCAGTAGGTTTAGAAAATCTAGTAAGAAGATTTGACGGAACAGCCAAATTTGATTGTCAGAATAGAATACGATGAGGATTACAAATGTGTAACATAGCATTTCCTATAATATCCCAGAATCAATATCACATTATCTTCTGAAAATGTTAAATTATTGCTTAGTTAGAACCTCGAATTTCTTATTATGGTTACATTATGTGATTTTTGACTGTACTAATAAATAAAACCGGCTTAGTGGTTCAGAGGTAGGCGTTCGCGCGCAAGACTAAAGCTCCTGGGTTTGAATCCTGTGAGGTGCAAGAGTCATGGATGCGCACCGCTTATCAGTCTCATACCAGGACCAAACAGCAGTCCAGTGATTCCAGGTTTCTAATGGTGGTCTAACATTGATCGATTCATGATTTCAATGAATAATCAAATAAACGTATCACAGGTAATCATAAGTAAGATTTCTGTAATCTCTTTCACTCATATGTACACTATAACAATAACAAGATTATCTATCGAATGATAAACAGTTGTCAGCATATAATTCTACAGATATAGTATTTGTTCTCTTAATATTTCATCTTCATACAGTAGGAATGGCTAATTGATTGTTCACTAATTATGAATTACTATTATTTGCTCTATTCATCACATTCATCAATTGTCCTTTTGATTCTAGCAAGCTTATCAAAGAAAACAACAAAATTTGAGAAAATCTCATCGTACCTCGAAATTTGGATCGATTATCACGCCTTATGCATTGAATAATTCAATATTCAAAAAGCAGAAATTTACTGTGGATAATATCTCAGCCTAATTGAATGCTGAACAACTAATAACCTGTTAGATTTAAAATATGCTAACATTAGCGTCATTTTCTACACGAAAATTAATCATGAGTTCTTTTTTCCAGGAAGAAAAAAACTTGTTAGTATTATTTAAATTTTTTCTACCGATTAAGCTTATGATGATGCATAGGATATTTTGAGAACAGGTTTGAGTAAAAGTGTGATCATTTTAAGTTGACTATGTAACAAGAATGAAAGTTGATACTGGTTTTCGTATCATCCAAGTATGAAAACTGGTTTAGATGATTAGCCTAATTGAGGCGGATATCAATTACTACTGAAGTTAGTGTAAGAATACATATTTACTTAATATAAACCTCGTAACCTAACTTTAATCCTTACTCTGAATAAATTTTAATCATAAACCGAAACCCTTAAACTCTAACGTCTATGAACCACAAATCAACTTGGGACAATTGATTAACTATGTAAAAATAAAATACACTTCATAATCTGTTTCCCTTTAGCTATAAATCATTCAAATATATACACTATTTCTTTACTGGCTCAGTCGGGGCAAGAATTTTTCAGTGGTTGAGCAAGTTCATCAGTATTCTTTTAAGCTTTACCAGATTCGTGTTCTCTCGTTGTTCGTATTAACAGATGTAAATCATCAGTTTCTGTTGGCATACATGCCTGTTTAGCTAAATGCTTCTATAGTGGTATTTAAGTTATTTGGAATGGTGAACACAGAAATAGAGGTTTATCAATGGAAAACATCGAAAAGTAATTACATTTCTTAGATTCATTGTGTTATTACATTCAAGAAATTAGTAGGTACCCAGAAAATATTTTACAGTCGGACTGAATGGGTATAATAAAATGAAGTTCACGGGTAGTTAAACAAATCTTTGACTTCACCTGTGTTATATGACAATAATTTGGTCCCAAAACTTCATAGTCTAGAAATATGAACAATCGACATCAATTCAATGAACTAATAAATAAGTCACATGTTTTTCAAATTACAAAGTATGTTATGTAACAAACATGGACAAATGCTTAATTTATTGATAATTTTATTTGCATAGAAATATAACACATATGACAGACAGTATTTATACATGTTCAACCTACACATCTTGTTAAACATCATGTATCGATTTTTATTGGGCAAATAATCCACGTGATATGGATACACAGGCAATTTATTAAGGTCAATAACAAGATTATTTGGCCATCTTAGTAGAAGGCAAGCAACAAAGTTGTAGGGAAAATACATAATAAAACAACGGAAATATGTAATGAAAATCTTTCTACTATTATTGGGGAAAACCAAGTTTGAAAAAAATCGATCTGCGGTAAGTACATTAAAAATTCAGACATTTTATATTCAGTTGTTAATTAGAATTCAATGAAGATTTTAATAATGAAGTCAGACTTCCCTTCAACAGACTAGTATTCTCTCCAGAATTCAAGTAAACTCAAGTTACAAATCTACACATACCTTATTGCATATAGGATTCTAATTTACTACTAATAATATCGACAACTAATTATATTTTGAGGACCTCATGACGGTAGTCAACTTTTGATTTTCTAAAACTAACACCATTTTCAAGCAATCTGATTAGCGAACCGATATTAGTCCCGTAATTCTTAATGAGGTTGAAAAGGCTATAGGCAGTCTAAAGCGAGGAAGGACAGCAGGTCCTGACGGATTAAAGCCTAAGATTTTTAATGATGGTGGTCCAGTTCTAGCAGTTAAATTAACTGAAATCTTAGCTAGAATCTGGGAGCTGGACGTGATTCCATATGACTGGTGTCAAACACGGATTGTCTCTGTTCATAAGAAAGGACAAAATTCCTCTTATGACAGTCACAGAGGAATCAGTTTAACTAATATGGTGTCTAAAATATTAGCTTCAATAATAATTCAATACCTAATCAGAGCTCGAGAAAACCAGGTTGGTTTTCGACCAAGACGTGGATGTATAAACCGGATATTCATACTTCGTCAGGTCCTAGAACACAGACACATATCCCAACAATAGTTGTATTCCTTGACCTCAAGGTTCCGTGGCAGTCTGTCATTGAAAGGCATACCGAAAAAGTGTATTGACCTTGTTCAGGCTCTCTATTCGAATACTAGCAAGCAAGCAAGTTTCACATGCAATTCTCTCTCCAAATGTGAAATATTTTGGGATCGGTTTCCGTTGACACTGAACGAGTGATAGGGAGTGAAGTAACTAAGCGTGTCAGTCGCTTCATTTATCTTGGGAGTCTCACCATCCTGATATCCTGGTGTGTGACTAAATCTCGGCACAGATACAGAAGGCTTGATTGACCCTTACCAACTCGTCACTTTCTATTACTAGATTAACATTATCAACTATTTTCAAACCAAATATGTTTTCAGGGAGAAAGCTGTCAAAAATGATAAACGTTATGGATCATATATTTCTAATGATGCTAAGACTTTTCATGAAACAAGAATTTTATTACTTTGGTACTACATTGCATACATCCTGAAAACTCAAACAGGTAAAACCTTGATTGATTGAAGTAGTAATGGAACAAGAGAATGAAGGACAGATGTATCGAGTTAGGATTTTGTGAGGAACCCTAGAGACAATGAGACAATATCACAATTTATTTGGTTAAATTAAATTTTTATTTTAAAGGAACACCTGAATATTTATGCGTCTCTAGTGGCTGCGTTAAATCTGAAGTTCACGGATGGCCGAGTATGCGGAGAAATAAATTTCCCCTTCAGTTTCCATATATCATACTTAGCCGAAACACGTTTGTGCGACAGCGGTAATAAGAGGCCAAATACGGATTCGGTTGGATGAGTTTATTTGAAGCAATCGTTCATGCAAACAGACAGAAAAATACATAGCTTGAAAGCAAATTAAAGTGAAGGCTGACGAGCCAACTCCGTGTGATGAAGCATGACAAAGCAAAAGTAAGCCAGACATGTAATAAGCGAAGTAAGCGGTGCACACACATACTTGAACGGAAACAACCTGGATAAAGGCAAATGGTTGACATGGTCAAAGAATGAGTGAATAGTAGGTAACTCTAGAAGAATGGATTAGTTAATTTGTTCGAGGGCTTAGGACAGGCCTTTGGGCTTGACATAAGAGTACACGCACCACACGCCACACAAGTCACTGAATTTGTGGGTGATGGGACACTGCCCAAACCGAAGCAGGTAGTTTTCTTGAGGAGCCGTCGTTCTCCAAGCCGGACACGCTTCCCGTCCCCTCGATTTCGTGAACGACACCCTCTACTGCAGCAGGGCAGTAAGTATGACTTTCTTGACAGTGGATATATACGTGTGGCCGTATGAGAGCATTTCGACAGGGAGAGTTGAATCTTTCCGTCTTCGTCTGTACCAGAACATTTGGTTCCAGAAATTATTCAATGAATCTATAGGTTTATATAACTCTTTTACGGTTGAAATTAAACTGGGAGTACTTGAAATAAACGACAAACACAACTTATTAAAAAAGAATTATGGTAATAGAACAACAGATTTTTATTCAATACCTTCACATCACAAACCAATAAATATATATCGTAGCAAAGGATAATATTAAACTGTTGGATGATAACGAAAATTTAAAACTTTCTAGAGTAGACAAAACAATCACTTATGTATTCATGATTAAAAGGTTATGGAGAATGTTGAGTTTCCTTCAAATTATGAGCTGACCAATATTAGACCGCTACTGAAAACCAGGAAGGAGAAGACGGACATCTGGTACTAGTAAGAGACTTTTCAGTAATGCGCATTTACGACCCTGTATATGAGAGTCGAATTTAGGACCTTCGGTGTCGCGCACAAATGCTTGAACTCTAGAGGTTAGGGAGGAAAGTCATCCAGTGCATTCAGGTTTTTAATCGTGATCTAACGTTGATCGCTTCATGATTGAATGAAACTTATGTATTCATCCTAATAAAGTGAACCACTTACAAATGAATATATATATATAGTTCGTCTGAACTTCACTATCTTGTACGATTTTTAAGCTAATATATTTTCGACTATTCATTTGTAAGTGGTTCACTTTATTAGGATGAATACATATATATATATATATGTAAATCAGTAGACAATGATGATGTATACATATAAATATATTTTATTCCATTCTTATTACTCTTTAATATTGTTATTTAATTTAGTAACAGATATTAGAAACAAAATAGCTACATCGGTACATCATAAATTTATATATAATATACCAAGGTAGCAAAAAAATGTTCACGAAACACAGACATTAATACAAAGAAAGAAAGGAAACAACAACAACAACAGAAAAAAAATACTCTAAAAACGAATGAAAAAAGAAAGAAAGAAAAAAAAACATACACACTAAGAAATGCTTAATATTGTTGGTAAAATATGATAAACCAAAAAGTAGACTATTTTTATCAATCATTACTTGTTTTGTGTTTGTTTTGCTGTTTTTTCTTCATTTAAACTGATCTAACCTACGAATTTTATGTTGCAACATATAAGAAAGGGTAAAGTGAATTTCAAAAAAACGATTCAAATAATAATGACCATTACAAAAAAGAAGAAAAAAAGAAAGAACCATAAGGTGGAGAAAAGTTAGAAAGAAGACAGAAAGTCATAATACCATTTCACTAGTGATTGATAGTCACATTGTCATAGTACATACACTATTTATTACTTGACCGTGACTTACAGTAAATAAATGGTAATTTTAAAAATTCCACTTGACTTGATACTTGTTTATTTTTCAAGCATTCGAATTTTGACAAGAAAAATAAATAAATAAATAAATTACTGCGTACATCTAAAGGAGATATAGAATTAGAAAGCTGAGCATATGACGAAAATTCAATAAGCAAAATTAAAGGGGGACTAAAAGAAATTACGCAAACTAAACGATTAAATGCGTTTACACCAATAATAATGACCCATTTATTCAAGACAACAACAAGGATGGAAGTGATTACGAGGGAAAGAGTGACGGCAAGAGAAAGAATACCGATTTGTCTTGAAAGTCAATATTGATAAGAATAAATAAATAAAGCGCAATGTGAAAATATATCATTCATTTAAAATGGTGATGAACTACTTTGTGTATTGTTAACTTCGAAATGAATGATATAAGCTAGACATTACTACTGAAAAATGTATTTTCAAAAAAGAAATATTTTATATGGGAGGGAGGGCAAATTGACAAAAGAAACAGGTACAATTAACTGGAAACGTAATGAGAAAATCTAAGACCAAGTGGAATTTCATGAACACAAGTAACGTTTATGATTATCATTGGACTACGGTTAATCTTTATACAATTATTCGTGTAACTATTCGAATGAGATAGCACACAACATGTATGGCGGCTATATATATATATATATATATATATATATATATATATATATATATATATCACCTCACTCGGAAATTATCATCACAGGAGTTTCAAAAGGAAATAAAATCGAAATGTATTTTTCACTGAAATGACAATTAGATAAACAGAAATAATAAACAAATATAACATATCACAATACAATTATGAGAAAGTTGTAAACAACAAACTCTGTTTAGAGTATCAATCAACTCCAATTCAAAATATTTGCATATGAAAGCTGAGAAAAAATGTTGTCTTACAAGACATTTTAGTAAACGGAAACTCAGTAATTTTGTGGTAAATTAACCAATACCACAGCTAGAGATACATTCGTTGAGCCATTTCAGACATTCTGCCCGGAATATGAACCATATGTTCCATGTACGAAGCTAACTCATCTACCGATACATCTGAAACTAATTGAGGCTTATTATTACTACTGACATGATGATTCATATCAGAAGCCGTTAAATAATTCATCTCGTTAGAACACTGGACAATATTTCCTTTTAATTTTGGATCCGATTCCATAAAAGGCTGTTTTAGTGAAGTGTTAGCATTATCACTTAAGCCAGTCCAAATAAAGGGTTGACAAACTAAACCAGATTGGTTGTGAATTTCCGTCTGTGACCTGCACAATGATATATCTGATGTATTCATAGTAGTCGATTTGTTAGAATGCAGTGAGAAGCACGTATCTGATGTATGCATAACTGACGATACAGGCCGCTCAGAACGTTCAGCTGATGATAAAAATGAAGGTCGAAAGTGAAATTGTTGCTGTTGTTGTGAACTTGGATTCGAAGTAGAATCATGTGAAACAGTTGAATTTTTAGGCTGTGACAAGGTATCAATACTTTGTGAAAATTTCAATTGACAAAAACTAGAATTTTCACTAGCCAATGGAATAAAAACAGAGTTCGAAACGTTAAATGCAGGAAGATTAGTAGTGGTCTTTGGAATCGGATTCTGACCGAATTCTGAACTTCTGTCCGGTAAAGCATATTCATAATCGATATTGCTCCTATCGCCATTACTATCTATAATTGGGTTACTGAGTTTGGTAACATATTGATAGTCAGCTCCATGAAAGTTAGGCCTGAATAAATAAAATAATGTTTCGAAACATCAGTAATTTACACTATTTATTAAGTATAATTGAAAATTCAACAAAACCATCTACTACATTTTAGCAGTTAGAAGTATGTAGGGAGTGTTCTCACTTCTCAGTTGTCTACACTATGGAAGAATTTTTTGGAGGCACCTGTAAATTAAACTGAGTTCGTAGTCTTGGAAGGGTATCTGCAGCAGCCGAAGAACTACTGACGCTGGTTACGCACGGCCACTTGATATATCAGTTTTGTTGTTTAAATGCCTTACAACCAACACCGGATAACTTTGGAGTAGGTGACTTTTCTTAACCCCTTTATTTCGTTGTAGAAAGTCAGCATCGTTAGAAATGATGGTTGAATAAGGGAAACACTTTACTAATTTCACACCTGTGCAGTCCGTATCACGTTTTCACAATTAGAACTCATAGTCTTGTTGTTTGCCAAACGGCCGATCTGGTATGTGACGACATAAAGGAGTATGTTTATCAAAATGTTCCGATGAGGCCATAGAGACGCACTTATTCTTTTCAAATTAAAGTTTCAGGATTCTTATTAATTCTATATATTAAAATTCAGAGAAAAGACTATACTTTTCCAGGCTCAATCAGAACAGCAGTCACCTTGATGCTTTTTGTTAACTAGCCAGAGAAACGTTTATTAAATGATCTAGTCTTTTAACTCAACATGGAGAAACTTTTCCCATAGATGCTCGTTGTGATAATCCAACCATAAATATACGAAAAAAACCAGTGAATGATCATTAGCCCATTCAGTTTTCTTAGAAACCTACAAATAGGATCGTAATTTATGTTCATCATTGGGATGGTGTCTGCAGCGTTTGCAATTACCGTCACCAAAAAATTTATCAGTTGCAGGACCACAGCTGTAGATCATCGTTATCAGTTTGTCAAAACTGGATTCAAAAGGTTACCATTAAGATTATTACGCCTCAAATAATCTTTCTGCTTATCCCTTTAGTTCGTTCACTAATGTCTACACCTGTAAGCTGAATCTTTTGAAGCGACCGATAAATTTTAACAAAATTCATCCTTTTTCCCATCCAAATTGCATCAACAGTTGTATGAGCGTACTAGCAAGTGTCATCGTTTCACATTCCCTTTGAGATCCAGTTAGAGTGGATCCCAATCTTATCATAACATGTGAACGATGAAAACTGAGCAAAAAGTTGATAGCTTGATCCGAGTTTAAGAGAGCTGATATTTTTTAAACACTTCAACTGCAGAGGTGATGATATCAACCAAAGGTTGCTTTACTCTCGAAAGTAGATAGCTTAATCGCGAAGCTTTCATTACCATGCATACCATCCATACTTATTTCATGTACACGTAAGCTTTCCAGTTATTCCAAATGTTCTGATGATCTTGAACAAACTGAAAATCACATCCTTATATAAAGTAGTTCTGATGTTTTCCAGAAGTACAACAAAACCAAGATTAAACTGCCGAGCTTTAAAAACACAATACCAAAACCATTCACTTGAGTTACAAATATTCTCCATCGTCAATAAGAGGAAAGCATGATGAAGATGAAGAGAAAGGATTCTTGTGTTGTTGGAAGTGTACAAACATATAATACATCACGGTTGTCGATCAGACTCTAATAATCGATAGCGTTACTCAGGACCGAAGCTGCTAACTTGACGTGGTGGTCGGGCTTGCCTATCGTGATGACCCAACCGAGCTAAATTGGCTGGAACATATGTTCCTGCAGGTCTTACTATGCCAGGCAGGTCGATTGGAGAACGATGAGACTAAAAGCAGCTACCCAAGGTCTGAGTGCGAAGTCGTAATGCTGACTGCAGAGGGGTGTGACAGCAGTAAGGTGTTTCCCTCGAACAACCAGCATCTGCTGCCTTCTCACAAGGAAGGAAGGGTTAGAAAGGGTCGACCCTAAAGATGTCACACCTCACCCTACCTCACAGATTTCCGTCTCCTTGGGTAAGGGTGCCCACTAAGGGCTTTCAAGAGCGGAGCTAACACTCAAAAAACTTCTCATAAAAGGCCGTGCGTGACCGGCCTCAAGCAGTTGTCCCTTGGGCTCTGCGGTCACGCTCCCAGGTCTCTAAGACCAACACTAATCTATCTTCTTTTTCAGGTCCCTCAAGAAGCAACCTTCCATGGTGTGGGCAGCCGGGAAGTGACAACCGCCCTCATACCCGTAACAGCACGCGAGACCAAATTGGTCGAAATCAAATCCTTCCTACGCTCACACGTACCTCTCTTCTCTCCACAACTAAATCAACTCAAATTCCCTTTTCTTACTGCACCTCTGCTGCAAACGATTCGAATTCGCGAAATGTTATTCCTGGTCTCTTTAAACCCCGTTCTAAACTACATGTTGGAGCTATTAATGTACGGACATTGTGTCAAATAGGGCAAAAGGCATCTTAGCTAGGACTTTAGAATCTCGTGCCATCGATGTGTGCTGTGTCTCGGAAACGCGCATACGGGATCCGAGTAGCATCATTCACTTGACCTCGCCATGTAAAGATAAAGCAACTCGATTTACCCTTAGTGTATCCGATAGTCCTGATGCTGCTTCCCGGGGTCTCGCTGGTGTAGGTATAGAATTGAGTCGTAGGGCAGAACAATCTCTCCTTGAGTGGATACCAGTAGATAGTCGCTTGTGCGTTGTCCGACTAAACGGGACAGTAAGGATTCGAAAGGATAGGGACACTCGTCGTTGCCTCTTCCTCATATCAGCCTACGCCCCCACTGACTGCAGTCCAGACGATGTGAAAGATGAGTTTTACAGAAAGCTTTCGGACCTCCTCCAAAAAGCTAGGCGCTCTGATATAGTATTAATGGCTGGTGACTTTAATGCTCAAGTAGGCCGACTAAGTGAGCAGGAGAGACACCTAGGTGGATGTTATAGTGTCGCGACTCAGAAAACAGACAATGGCGGCCGTCTGTTGTAACTGTGCTCAGATAACCGCCTATTTCTAGCAAACACTAATTTTAAGCATAAGGAAAAGCATCTGTTGACCTGGCGACCTCCAAAGTCGTCTCAACGTTGGACCCAACTAGATCACATCGCCATCAGCCACCGATGGAGGTTCGATATAGGACTGCAGCTCGTTCTGGAGCACATGCCTAGATTCAGATCATGCCCTAGTGCGAGCGCGTATTTGTTTGAGGCTTACTGGACGTAGGAAAGACACCGTAAGAAAGCCTCTTAGGGCTTTACTTAATGATAATAAAGCGAAAAATATATATATCAGGAACAACTAGAAAGACAGTTAGGCGACCATTTAAGCGATTCCCATCCGGAAGCAGGATGGAATGATATCAAAAAGACTGTGGAAACAGAAGTGATACCTTCTAGTAAAGTTGACCATAAGGCTAGAATGAAGCCGTGGATCTCTGTAGCATCCACCGATCTGATGGATGCCCGAAAACCCATCCCGCCTGGCTCTGAACATGATGAAGAACGAAGTCAACTTAGGCGCAGACTGATAAAAAGTCTACGCAATGATCGAGAACAGTGGTGGGTGGAGAAAGCTAGGGAGATGGGAAAGGCAGCGGTGATAGGCAACTATTTAAACTCATCGAGGAAACTGGTATTAGGAACCCAAGTGTGAGTGAGACTATTCCGGAAAAGGATGGTCTTCTTATTTATTCTCAATCCAGGAGACTGGATCGATGGGCAGAACACTTTAGGGATCAGTTCAACTGGCCTCGAGCCACTCTTCGGTTACCCACGATCCCCAGTCATCCTGAATGGCTAATCGACGTAAGTCCCCCCAGTCTTTATGAAGTTGAGAAAGCTATAGGAAATCTGAAGCGAGGGAGGGCAGCGGGTCCTGATAGATTGACACCTGAGATATTTAAGGATGGTGGTCCAGCTTCAGCAGCTAGGTTGACTGAGATCCTAGGTAGAATCTGGGAACTGGACGTAATTCCATCTGACTGGTCTCAGTCGATAATTGTCCCAATCTATAAGAAAGGACAGAAGTCCTCTTGTGACAATCACAGGGGAATAAGTTTAACTAATATAGTTTCTAAATTGTTAGCCTCCACTATACTTAGACGTCTAACTAGTGCTCGTGAAGAGCAGACTCAACAAAACCAGGCTGGTTTTCGACCTGGACGTGGTTGCATAGACCACATCTTCACACTACGACAGGTCCTGGAACACAGACACACATTGAAGCGTCCTACAATAGTTGTGTTCCTGGACCTGAAATCGGCATTTGACTCAGTGGTTCGTGAGGTTCTGTAGCAGTGTCTGTCATTGAGAGGTGTACCAAATAAGTACATTAACCTCATACAAGCTCTCTACTCGAACACCGCTGGTCGAGTGAGAGCTTATGGCGAACTGTCACTGGAATGCTTTACTTCAAGTGGTGTCCGTCAGGGATTTCCACTCTGTCCATTCTTGTTTAATTTTATCATAGACATGCTCCTAGACATAACCTTATCCTCGTCTGAATTTTCAGGAGTAGACCTTCTGCCGGGTGGCTCGCTTATTGACTTAGAATATGCCGATGACACAGTCCTACTTGATGAATACGCCGACAAAATGCAGAGTCTTCTGACTACCCTAAGCAACAATGCAAGCATGTTCGGGATGCCGTTTTTCTCCCTCGAAATGCAAAATGTTGCTTCAAGATTGGGTTGCATCGGCACCTGTACTAGTGATAAGGAGTGAAGTAGTCGAGCGTGTTGATCACTTCACTTATCTGGGGAGTCTCAACAGTGCCGATAGCCTGGTGACTTACGGAATCTCATCTCGGATACAGAAGGCTCGATTGGCTTTTGCCAACCTGCGTCACTTATGGCGTAGACGAGATATCCGTTCGCTAACCAAAGGATGAGTGTACTGCGCAGCAGTTCGCTCCGTTCTCGTGTATGGCTGTCAAACATCGCCGTTAAGGGTAGATGTTCGTAGGTTACTAGTATTCGATCATAGGTGTCTTCGAAGCATTGCTCGTATATCGTGGAACAACCGAGTAAGCAATGCTGTTGTTAAGAAACGAGTACTAGGTAAGGATGGCAGATCAATCGATGAAGTGGTGAAACTTCATCAGTTGAGGTGGTTGGGACATGTGTTACGTATGCCCAACCACCGACTGCCTCAACGAGCTTTGTTTTGTGGTGTAGAAGCAGGTTGGAAGAGAGCTAGGAGCGGCCAAAACAAAACATGGCAAAAATCCATGAAGTCACTGACAAGTGGTCTGCGTCATTTTGATAGGTGTAGGCTGCTACCTGGTTGGGGTCCGCGAGACGAAAGTCATCAATGGTTAGAGACCTTGAACGACATGGCTCAAAATCGTTTGCAATGGCGCAAGTGCATCCATTCTTTGAGCTCTCTCAAATCTTAATCTTCTGGATTCGTCAGCACCTCTACCTTTGTCTTTCTAACCTAATCTCAATGAATTATACTTCTTGAATAATATCTGCGGACCCTAGTCTTCTTCATTACCATTAATACCTCTACTATCTTTATCACTATACGATTTGATTTGACATTTGCGTCTCTGTGCTAATGTGGTATGGCAACATGAACTTATGTACATACGTACGAAGTTCTACGTTGCAACCGATTGACTGACTGATAGCGTTACTGACAAATTATGATACTGTTAACATGACTTACATAGAGATCTCTCGATTTGAAGATCGTTAATATCATGGACTGATTTTGGTTAGACGACCACTAAAACTATGAAGAACTAGAAAGCATAGTAGTAATTGTCCGTCAGCTACAATCTAGAACTTTATTTGTACGTAAAACAATCCAAGATACCATAAAAAATTAGCACAGAAATTGGATTGTCAGTTCGAACTCCATAGCCTACCTCTAAATTACTAAACACTGATCATCGAGGCAGTTGGTGGTTAGGCATATGTAAGGCATGTCCTAACCATCTCAATTGTTGATAATTCACTACTACACTAACTGATCTGCCATCTTTCCCTTTTCCTAACACCAACATTGGTTACTTGATGGTACTAAGATATTCGAACAATGCTTCGAAGACGTCTATGGTCGAAAACCAGGAACCTACCAGTATCCCCTACTCTTACTAGCCATGTCCCGACCGTAAATGCTACCTTGACGTGTTGGTCGGGCTTGCCTATCGTGATGACCCTACCAGGCTATATTGGCTGGAACATATGTTCCTGAAAGTTCTACCATGCCAGGCAGGTCGACTGGAGAGCGATGAGACTAGAAGCAGCTACAGAAGGTCTGAGTGCGAAGTCGCACCGCTGACTGCAGAGGGGTGTGACAGCAGTAAGGTGTTTCCCTCGGACAACCAGCATCTGCAGAGACACTGCCTCCTCACAAGGAAGGGTTAGAAAAAGTTGACCCTAAAAATGTTACACCTAGGCGAGATATCCGTTTGCTGACTAAAGGATGAGTGTACTGCACAGCAGTTCATTCCGTTCTCCTATATGGTAGTGAAACATGGCCGGTAAGAATAGAAGATATTCGTACGCTACTAGTATTTGGTCATCGATGTCTTAGAAGCATTGGTCGTGTATCCTGGGTAAACGGAGTAAGCATGCTGTCGTTAGGAAACGGGTCCTAGGTAAGGATGTCAGGTCAATAGATGAAGTAATGAAACTTCACCAGTTGAGGTGGTTGTGACATGTGTTTCGTAAGCCTAACCACCAACTGCCTCGTCGAGCTGTTTTGCGATATAGGAATAGTTTGGACGAAAGCTAGGGGCGGCCAGACTAAAACACGGCACAAATCCATGAAGTCACTTACAAGTGGACTGAGTCATGTTGGTAGGTAGATATAGGGTACCTGGTTGGGGTCCGCGAGATGATAATAATCGATGGTTAGAGACCCTGAGTGACATGGCTCAAAACCATTTGCAATTGCACAGGTGAATTTACTCTTTGTGTTCTATGAAATTCAAACCTTCTAAATTACTCATCACTTCTAACTTTTTCTTTCTAGCTTTGCCTCACTGAATTATACTTCCTAATTAACATCTTCGAATCCTAATCTCTCCGATTACTTCTGATATTTTTACTACGTCTACTACTATGAGATTTGAATTGACAATTATTTCTCTGTGCTAACGCGATATGGTAATTTGAACTGCTGTACTTACGTGTACAGTTCTACGTTGATGTTGATGATGATAATGATGACTGGCCATGTTCCACACGAGTATAGTAGGAGCAAACGAACTGCTACGCAGAAGACTCGTCCTTTGGTTAATAGACGATTATCTCGCAAGTTGGTAAAATCCGGTCGAGCCTTCTGTATCCGTGCTGAGATTTATTCATACACAAGTCTATCAGCACTAATGAGACTCCCGAGATAAGTGAAGCGGTCAACACGCTCAACTGCTTCACTCCTTAGTTCAGGTGCCGACGCAAGCCAACCGTGAAGTAACATTTTGCATTTTGAGGGGGAGAACCGCTCATACACACACACAATATTATCAACCAAATGAAGTTGGGAATGTGAAGCAATGGATGCTGACAGAATGGTTTAAAGGCAACACGTGTAACACAAAATCTGATGATCAAAGATTCGATTTCGAGGGAATCACGGAATACATTTTGGTCTTTAGAAAATGCCTAGCCAAAGTCAAACCATGATGTATACTATATTCATATGTGATAAATAAGCGACATGAAACTAGAAATAAAGTTATCTGCCGCACAGAGGTTGAGTTTTACGAAAACTAGATAGTGTATTTCTTATCGTTAATTCGAGATAAATCATAAAACGTTACCATCCTTATAAACTACTATTCACAAAATGCTTGACAAATACTTAAAAATATAAAAGCAATCATAAGTAATATCTGAACTACTTAAACTTACTCTAAACTCTTTATTTCTCTGTTTGGAAATGTACTAAGCCGAATGGATATGTCTGTTTGACTATTCTCTGAGTTATTCGGTAGTGCTTCTGTCCGGTTAAATTCACCATCACAAGAGACATTTAAATCAGAATCCTCGTTCATGTTACCAGATATAAGCGGTCCACTGAATTGTAAATTTCGAAATTGTTGCCAACTTTCAGGATCAGAATTCCTACGACAACGCTGGATTCCAGCAAGACGATTTTCAGTAGGCTGACTTCTGTATTTAGCCGCACTTTGTTGTAAACACGACTGTATCGCCGTATACTGATGAATACTGCAATAGTTAGATGCTGGAGATATATCTGTTAGTCCTGAATCACACTCAGTATCCAAAGATTTAGAACAGGATGCAGTCCGGGAATCGATGCTGAATCGATAAACTGAAGCTGGAATAATGGTATGACGATGCCTTGATGATAAAGAGCGACGGAAAGAAGTAGCAGTTCCCGTGGAACAGCCACTAGGTACTGTAGTCTGTGTATATCCATAATGTTTGCAAGGATAATATAGACTTACACAAGGGTGGTCAATAAGACTGTACAGTCGACGATATAGACGTAAATGGTGAGGTAAATGAAACCCAGTTACGTGACAGCAACATAAGGGGTGGTCACCGTGAACTGTGTTAGTTACGTTGTGCGGACTTTGAGTGACCGAATTGTTATCCTGTTCAATTTCACTTAACTCATTCCCATATGACCGACGTAAATGTTCGAAGCAGGGGGAAACGTGTAAAGGATGAAGGTCACACGCTAAAGTTCTATAGTTGGAATGACAGCGTTTAGAAGGGAGTGTTGTACAGAGGTAGCCAGAAGATTGTCTGTTGGATGACGTAGGTTGTTCTTGAAAAGATCCTGTATCTTCAGCACAGTCTGCAAAAGTATTTGAGTGTTCTACTGACAAACAGGGATACAAAGAATTCGCCTGATTCAAATTGTTGTCTATCACCCCACCTTGCCCACCAGTTTTTCGCAGGGTTCGACAATATTCACATGCTTTGCAACACCGAAAACCGTAGCTTACGACCGTTGCCGATGAAGCAGACCGCGTCATTCTACAGTTCGAAGATACCTCACCAAGAGAAGCAAGTGTATGGAGTGTAGATCCTTTCAATTGAGGACGAAAACGGCGATCGCTACTAAACATAAAGTGCATGAGAAAATTAGTACAAAGCTTCATGGAACTAACTTAAAATTTTAGATATTTAATGAAGTCAAACATCTTTAAATATCCTAAATACATAGAGACATTTTCTAACAGTATTTCTATTATATGTAAGTATGCATACAGACAAAGATTATGGTAATAAAAGCTATTAAAATGATGAGCAAGCTGATTTCAGTAACAGGTTAGACACCTAAAATAAGGATTTCATGTACCCCTTTGAGATATTTTGACTTCTATTATTTGGAGAAATTTCTTACGAAACTTAATAAGATACTTTTGCGATCCTACATAAGTTATGATTAAGACCTTTCATAGTGAATAGTGAGCGTGTTTTATGTTATTAGAATGAATAAATCCAATCGCGATCGATAGACGAAATGCAACGTTACACTGTGGTCGACTGATGAGAGCTGCATAGATGGAATCATGGACCTAGATTTCCAAATGAATTGATACTAGAAGACAGTTGTGCAGCACAATAATCTTTTCTTTTAACAAAATAACATACAGAATACCAAACCTAAGGACAAATATGATTTGAATCTATTTAACGAATAAAAAATTAGAAGCTACGTTAACTATAGGTAATCCATTAGCCAATGGAATTAATGCTAAAATATCTAATGTCTAATTATTGCCCGGCCATATCTATGTATTACATAAATATAGTCTGGTAGTCTATAGCTGCAAATAATTGGCCATGTACGTATCCGCGCGGGAAGCTACATTTACTGTGTACATATACGGTTACAGATCACTGTGACTGAAATTGACCCAGTAATAACAATCTATATCAAAATAAAGTAAGCTTAGGTTCAAACAATGATAAGAAATAAGGTAACCTTTACACTCATTACACGAATAAGTGCGTCTAGATGCAAACGTAAATAAGTTAAGCAATTTGTTACTGGAGTATAAATGTGTAAAGAGTACATTAGCTATTTTGAGGCTTGCATGTAAACCGACAAACATCCGAACTTTTATATGATCTGATAGACAAAAGTAGATTAATTTTGATCAACTCTGATAAAACGTCCCAAATAGGAAGATATACCAGCACATAAGTAACAGGATAGTGAGATCGAAGAATAAGTGATCAGAAACTAACAAAATAAAATACCGGTATTGAGATAAAACTTAGACGTTTATCCAGACAACTGGTACCAATCAGTGATTCAACTACATTTTTGTAAATAAATAGGAAAATCAGTCAGTAACAACGTAGAACTTCGTACCTAAGTACATCAGTTCATGTTGCCATACAATATTAGCACAGAAACGCAATTGTCAATTCAAATCCGAGTGGTAGAGGTAGTAGAAGGATTACTAGTAATGGAGATTATGGTTCTAGGATATTATTCAAGAAGTATAATTCAGTTAGATAAGTTTAGAAGGAGAACGGTAGAGGTGATGACGAATTCAGAGGATTAGGATCTGAGAGAACACGAAGAATGGATGCACTTGCGCCATTGCCAACGATTTTGAGCCATGTCGTTCAAGGTCTCTAACCATTGATTACTATCATCTCGTGGACCCCAACCAGGTAGCAGCCTACACCTACCAACATGACACAGACCACTTGTCAGTGACTTCATGGATTTTTGCCATGTTTTGTTTTGGCCGCTCCTAGCTCTCTTCCAACCTGCTTCTACACCACAAAACAAAGCTCGTTGAGGCAGTCGGTGGTTGGGCATACGTAACACATGTCCTAACTACCTCAACTGGTGAAGTTTCAATACCTCATCTATTGATTTGCTACCCCTACCTAGTAATCATTTCCAAACGACAGCACTGTTTACTAGGTTGTCCCAGCAATGCTTCTAAGACAAGCATGATCGAATACCAATAACCGAAAAATATTTTCTTTTCTTACCGGCCATGTTTGGTATCCATATAGCAAAACGTAGAGCCACTGCGCAACAAACTCGACCTTCGGTTAGCAAACGGATATCTCGCCTACGCCATAAATGACGTTAACTGGTAAAAGCCAATCGAAAATAGAGTGATAAAAGCTTGCAGAGAGTAATTATTTTACGCTGACCGGAACTCAGGAAAAATAAAATCCAGAGAAGTGTAACCAGTCACAAGAAAACCAGAACCCCACACTTTTCAACCCTCCTCAGTGACAGTAGGAACTTCATACTCAAGAATTAATTACCAGAATAACAGGTGCGAATCAATCTGCAATCTGGGTATCGAAGGGAAGATAGAATGATCCCCTCTATGCCTTTGTGACAGATTTTGAGTCGTTACCTGACATCAAGCGTCAGTTATGATAACCGCGTGGACTCCACTCACGTAGCTCAAGTCTACTGACATGATTCAGATCCACAGTCAGCGAATCCATGAACAGATGTTATTTAGAGGATTGGTCGCTTCCAGCACCGCTCCAACATAATACGATACCAGAAAACTCAAACAACATGGAAGTTGTTGGACAAAGGTGTCACGTGTCCCAATTAGCTTAGTCAATGCAGATTCACCTATTCACCAAATTAGTCTATAGTCAATTATTCTTCCTGGTGGTTTCAATGTACACGACCAGTGATTGGAAGACACCTATGATCTAATAATACTATCCCAAAGACATCTGCCACTTTTAGAGACTTAAGCTCCAATCAAGGCAGTCTTGTTGTAAGTATAGATGATACATGTTAATAGTTGGTGAAAGAGAGTCATTCACAATAATCTAGCAAAACTGTTTAGTTAGATTCTACTAACTTTGAGCAACAGCTAATGTAATGTAGTAGACAAGCCAGAATGTGGTTGTGAAACGGCTTATTTATCGATAAGGGAGATAATTATATCTAGTTGGTGTGAAGGACATAAGATAGGTACATAAATTTCCGAATTCAAATGAAACTTGTTATATTAATCGTTTGACTATAAATGAAAAGAACCAAAGCTCTTAGCAAGAACCTTTTGATAGTATCATTACCGTATTACTCCGCAAAATTAGATCTTCGCCATACAAATAAGTTTACTTATTAATGCACTGACATATGGCAGTTTCCTGGAGTGAATAAACAACCATAGGAAAATGCCACTGCGACAGTCAGTCGATATTCAATTCCGGTGAATGTATTCTAAAAGAAGCAAGCAGGTCTCTACATAATTCGAAGTCACAAGCAGGTGGAATGGGTGGGTATATAGACATAATTTCAAATATCTCGGAAGAACTAGACTGACATACAACAGTGCTTATAACAAACACTGTGAATTATAGTAAGATTATCTACATAGTCATCTAGAGCACGTACTACCTGAACCAACTGGTTCAAAAAAGCAAAAATTTAAACTTTAGTTGAACGTAATTTTCATTCTTGACAAGTTGATAAATCCTTGACGGAATGTATGAAAAAAGGTGTAACTGATGCAGAAAAATTCCCAACCTTACTCACATTTTAAGATGTTTAAGTGAATCCACCAGGTCTGATGGCTTAGCTTTCTTTACTTTCATATTTGAAGATTAAACCGCGTAATATATAGCAGAATGTACAGCATAAACGTTTCTGGCTCAGTCACTCATTGGCAACGCAAAAGACCTTGAGGATCCTGCGCGCCTAATCACAGTATAAACAACAGATATAACTTACGGCTGTGAAACGCATCCTATATATATACTAATACTTTTGCAAATTACAAAAAAACACATAATAAAATATGTTTTTTTCTCATCTCATCTTTCGCAAATCAAGTGACAACCTGTTTTATTCACGTGTAACCGAAAATAAATCCCCAAACTAGATAATTTTCCGAGTATTTGACATTCATGCCGACCTCATTAGTTTTTCTGGAACCACCTTTGGCCGGGGGCTCTAGGTCATGCCACGTTATGTTCAGATTTTTTGTGCAACAATCCCATTCTAATGTCTTAACTAAATATTTACTTCGTCTTTCTTTCATTAGCTGTTGCTTTCGCATACTAAGGGTCTGGGATTTGACTTTGAATGATATGAATTATGACAACTAGGCCTATTCGGTAAGCAACAATGTATGGTTCGAAATAGTAGACATGACCAGCTAAAGTCTAAGTCCAAAGAGTGAGACGTTGATAACCCCTTCTGTTAGCATGCTTTGTCCAACTGCGTCTAACCTTCCTTGCCTACTAAGGAGTCATGTGTTACATGTCAGTATATAAATATTGTGCAATTACGAAGTGAATTCCACATTTTCTCCTTCTGCGCTACGCCTATTCCAGTCCTCATCGAAAAAAAATGCTAATGCAAGCGCATGTTAAAAAATAGTCATGATCTTGTAGGCGAGAACAGCGTGTAGAATAAAACTGGCATATATGCGTTCAGATATCTCGTGAGAGAAATAAAATTAACAATTTAAAGGCTTCCTGATTATTTGAAAAATATGTGCATTTATAGGCAAATCAAAATTTCCTCGGTCAATTTCAAATCCTATAATATATATATATATATATATAAACAAAATTATTCATCGGTTTTCGACGAAATCAAATATGAAAATGCAAATGAAGAGTAGTAGGACACAGAAACGAAGATGAGAGAGGTATTAGCTTTCAAGAAGTTCAACACGCAGAAGTCGTTAAATGCTCTGAAAATCTAAAGGATCTCCATAGCGCGCCGTTCTAGGTAACTTTTAGAAAACTGGGGAAGTTTCGTTGAGGACGTTGCTGATTAGAGATCGTTTTGAAGTTGTGAGGGTCATGTAATTTATTTGTGCTAGACTGGTCGTCGAGGAAGGGCATTCTCTTCTGAGTTAGTGGCTTTTAGCCTGTTTATGCTGATGGTGTCCTAACTCCCGTTTCTCTCAATCATATTAAACTGTTAGGTTTACTAAGTTGCAAGGCGCGTTAGACGAAACAGTTCGTCAGTTCAGTGTGAAACGTTTGCAACTGAAATCAAGGCTTTCGACTTTTGGTGTAATTGTTCTTCCTAGATCGTCAGCTAGCAGGTTGTAAGCGATCTTTTGGAATGAAGAAATTCATAGAACTGTAGTGCGACAGAGGAAAATTCCAGATTAGAACTGGCATCCGCGTTTTGCAGAAATATCTCCAGGTCAACCAATCGTCGGACGAAAACGCGGGCCATGTTTCAGCAGTGATGTCCTTGATAGGTTCTACTTCTGGTCATCGTTTGGAACGATCCACACATATAAGGAAGTAAGGATTTCCAGTGATTTTTTAAGGACCCTACCGAGTCAAGATGAACGTAGATGGAGCGCTCACCTGTTGATAGAGCACATAAGAGACATTTATTTTGCCGAGCTACCATGGGGTTCAGTCAGCTAACACAGCAATAATCTCCTTTCCTCCCGTCTTTGTTCACAGAAGGACAGCAGACCTGGAACAGAAAATTTGTGCAACGTACTGAAGACATTATTTCGGTAATGTTCCGTCACGATTAAACGATCCCTATATATTCCCATCTTTATGATGCGTAGTTGGAGGGTTGTCAATGGGGACTTGTGATGAAAATTCGACTTTTCTGTGTGTTAACACTGATACCACATTGTTGGAGCCGTCCAGAAACAAGGTCCAGATGCTGGATATGATATTTTCTCTCTGCACCTGGGATTTGACAGCCACCAACGTAAGCAGACAAAAAGAGTAGATCTCCAAACACGACATCAAGGAATCTCAAGAAGGGGGTAGTGAATAATTTCTAGGGAATGTCCTAATTGAATTGCATGACTTAACCAAGTTGATTATTGAGAAATTATCGTATTTTTCACGGTAGCCTTCAGGTCGTGAATGCAAAACAATGGGTAACGATAAGGTGTGTGTTTCATATTCAGTCATCATTAGACACCGGTTAGATGCCAACATGCCATCCTTTTCCGGGTCCAAACGCATCGGGATTCACTAAGGCTGCTTGACGCTTGCATAATCCTTGGATAAATCATGTGGTCGAACTTATTTTCAGCAATCCCTAGGTTTCCAGGAGCCTGTTGTCGGATCTTTGAGAATGCAGTTGGTCCTGTAGTCATGATATGATGTGCAACATTGCTAGTTACACACGGTTACGTGGTTGTATCCGGTACAACTCTGGGAACTTGTATTGGACTTGGTTAAAGGAAAGTGTAACTTTTATGTTTAACCATGACTTGACATAACTTAAAACCAGAAAGTGAAACTCATCAAAAAGTCATTTAGTTTTACTTATTTGGATCGACGATTGCAGCAAGCGTGTACTAATGATTGATATGGACATGTGTGTCAGAAGGAAATCCACTGAGTTTGTCTGTATAAACCCACGTTGAGGTAAACATATATTTGCCGGTAGACTAAGAAGCTGGATCATCTAAATTATCTTTTTTGTTAGCTGGGAGGATACTAATTCTGCGCTAGTGTAGCTAATATTCATGACCATCACATGCAAAGATGGCACATTTGTGTACCAGCGGAAGTTGTCGTTTACGCGTGTCAAAGAGGGCAGATTACATTAATGTTTATGACGGAGGATTTAGGGCTAGGAACACTGTAGGGTTTACAGCGCTTTACAAAAGATTTGTATTGGAGTTGCGGATAATCTGTTTCTAGTCGTCTAGAATAAAGTTAGAAATTAGCTCATACGGATGTCATCACAAAAACCCTAATTCTTCCTAGCATACGACATTCTGAAATTAACCGTACATTTTTCTCAGTCGCAAGTTTGTGCTGTCCATTATTTTTGAGATATTTCTCGAAAACTGATATTTATTGTTGTATGTCCGTACCATCCTCTTTTGCTGTCATAGAGACTTTCATACTGTACATAACTTATAGTTTTTGTTTACATATATCATTATGTTTACGATAGAAAACAGATATTCTTTATATTATCTGTGCTATAGAAGGAACTAAAACAGCAACCGCATTTAACGTCTGTATATTGTTTAGAATGACTGAGAGCTTTTGATTAGCTTCAAAATGGAAGTCAGATTATGCACCGACGCTATTCTTCAGTCCGATCATCCCACAGAAAATCGATGTCAGTATGGTTACCAATCATAATCTTGAGCATAATATTTCGCCGCAGTTGAGATAATTTAGTAATTGCCTCTGTCGGCATTAATGTCTTCGTGATGTTTGATGTTTTCTAAAAGCCTTCCACAATACAAAATACTCACAGACCACTAGGCTGAGCCCAGAAGTTGTTCGTTACTTTACATGGCACCGATTACTTCAGTAATCTATCTTTTTGTTCTGAGCAGCTTACCTAAGATGGAGTAACTCAGTTAAACGATACGTCTGCATGCTCTAAGACATGCTTATTTTCATAATGTTTTCAATACACATCTTAGTTATTCAGTAAATATAACCATGATTTTTAAAGAATTCGATTAGCATCTCAAGTATATGATACGCATACTAACCTTACCTTCTTTCTGGCTAGTTGTTAGGTAGGTCAAAATGACCAAGATATTTACCGACTACAAAAGGACTTACATGAAGTAATTCAAATTAACGAACAACAGCCAGTAAATTTTCAAAATGTAAGACTAGACTGACCAAATCGTTGTCGTAATAAACCTCAGTTTTGAAAAAAGATGATACATAACTGCTGATTATTCATGCAAATTATATACCAAAAACAACCAAATTCCTAGTTTGACGTGTCTTATTCCATGATGAGATATAATCGAGATCACGCGAAAGTTTTACGGTTTCAAGTCTTGTGATTAGGTATATTATTTAGAATTTCATTTCGTGTATTGCTGTATAAAGTCAATATCTGGGGCAAAAAACGCATGATTTGCTACAGCTTAAACAAAGTCGGTGATTTTTCTTTGTTTAGGTAGGCTACATTCATAAATACACTTGTCATTACCTTCAACAAGATAATAAATCACAAAAGTCATACTTAACATTTGTGATCATGCGTTGCGTTATCTTCATTACATTTATGAAAACGTAAGCAACAGTAGCTTAAAACCCATCTAATGCCTACACGGTTAGGCATACGAATATTCAACGCATTACCAATGGAAATCAGGAAAAGGGTAATACCATGTACTACTAGAGGTGTCAAGGATAGCTATTAATTTTCTGATGCTCACAACACAAGAGGATATTTATTATACAGTTACTTTGAGACAAATCTAGGTTATTGTTAGTTTTACTGGTTTGAGAGCGTGACCGCCAAACCCAAAAGCAACTGAGTCGGGCCAGTCAAGTGCAGGCATTTTATGAGTTTTCGAAATGTTGGCTTTGCTCTGAAAAAAAACTTTACCGCTTAAGATGGAAATCCGTCAGGAAACGTATGGAACTCCCAATGTCTATCTTAATAACCCTTTCCTTCGTTGTGAAAGCTCAATATCAATGAAGACGATGTCTGTTAGGGAGATACACCTTGGTGTTATTCAAAGAATTTATAGTCAGAATTACAACATTATCCCGAGATATTAGTCGCAACATTTAGAATTAACCATAACCGCTATTTTAATGATACTGATGGTTAATCAAGATGCATCGGCTGTGGCATGAATAGTTTGTGAAAGATTTAA